CAAACTCAACTAGACATGGTGAAACTTATAATGGAAAAATATAATTATCATACATTGCTATGTGTAATGGCCAAAGGAATCTTGGAAGGACTACTGATATAACAAAAATAATGAGTGCCAGTATGCAATGTGTTGAAAGTCCCACATCGCCTACTTCATATCATTTGGTATGGTTTAAATACATGTTAGGCTACTCCACATATTGCCAATTGGTTTTATGTTGGAACCTTAACATGGTATCAGAGCCAAAGCCTAACATCTTTCCGGTTATTGTCATGGGCCAAAAGTTGCCCTTTAGTTGGGTCAAAAGTACCCTTTGCCTGGTCCGGCAGGCTTCGTTGGAGGGGGTGTGTTGAAAGTCCCACATCGCCTACCTCATATCATTTGGTATGGTTTAAATACATGTTAGGCTACTCCACATATTGCCAATTGGTTTTATGTTGGAACCTTAACACAATGCAATCAAAGTGATGATGCCTTCATGCTTAGACCATCTTGGTCAAACCCATTCAAAAACAAACCTATACAAATGCAGGCAAAACTTGATCATCACCATGCAATTTTAACCACCACTACCACCTTTATATGTAATCATACAAACCAGTAATCCACTTGCATCATCTCAAAAAGTACAATTAGCCCATCAAAACAGACCAACAACAGTAATAAAATAAACTGCAAAAAAAGAAACAAAGATTATAAAATAAAATTCATACAATTAAATACACACCACTATGATATAAATTGGAAGAAACAAAAAAAAAAAAACATATAAAACAATTCATCCACAAAAACATCTCCTTACGAACTCCAACATTTTCCGGCCGGGGCTGAAGTCAACCCCATCAAGATGCCACCTTTTCCACTGAATAACCCAAATGACCAACACAGAACAAACCAAACCACACATACAGACAAAAATTTCAGAAAAACCCAGAACGTCAAAACAAAAAAGTCCAAATTTTTAAGTCTTCCAAAACAATGACCCATCAACAAAGCCAAGAGAAGAAACCATTGTTGTTACCTGACAATAAAAACAAATCAGTCTGAACCCATTTTGGAAGAAGGTGGTGAGAGTATACCAAATTGCTATAGATACATCTACCATCTAACACCTTTTGATGTTTGGTGTATGTTTCTTCCACGACCTCTAGTGTGTCGTGTCTTATGTGAAGGAAAGGTGGTGGAGTGATTGCTTGAAGTGAGAGAAAGTTGTGTGTGAGAGAAAGAGAGAAGATGGTATGCTATTTGTGTTATTATTGTTTGGTTTGGTCCAAATTTTGAATGCCTACTGTACCCTTTAAAGAGACCAGTAAATAGCAATCAGGTTGTTAGGTGAAGAAGAAACAAGAATTATATTCACCTCTTAAACATCTCAGTGAATTTTTCTTTTTCTTTAAAATTACGAGTTCTAATACTGTAGTTTCCTAAAACTTTTACATAAACTTAGTTTTTTGATGACTATTTCTTAACTATAATTTTTTAATATTATTTTTTATATATAATCTAACTTCTATCTATCATTTTTATTTTTATAATTTTTTTAAAAATACTTTATCTATCTACAAAACTAATTTCACATGAATAATCTCTATGTTAAATTATAAATTTTAAGACAGGATTATAAAATTAAATAAATAAATTTCGTATATTATCAATTAAAAAATAATTCATTTCAAACATAAAATTAAAGGAAATAGATCTTTCTCTACCATGTTCTGTCTTATTTATAACAAGAAAATTGAATCATAATATACAACATTGAATTAGCCATGAAAGTGTAACAAAATTTATTAAAATATAATATTTTAAATTCAATATAATATCTGGTGACGTTAAAAAAAATATTGATTGAGTTTGTTATAATTTTATGAAATATCATCTAAAATATTTTTTTTATAAAAAATAAATAATATTTGTAATTTAAAATAATATCCCTATTTGTAAGAATAATTTAGGAAATGGTTATGATTTTAAAGATTTAATACGACTTGAGTTAATGGAATAAAAAATCATAATATTTTATTCTTTTTATATTTTAAAATATTATTATAATTATCTTGTTGCTTGTTTTCATATTGTAAATTAAAATGAATATTTTTTATAAAAAATAATTTTTTTATAATATATATTTATATATTTACTTTATTATTTTAACAATGAATTTCATATATTATTTTTATAATATTTTTTTATTATCTCAATATAATATTATTATGTTTAATATAAATTATAATATATTTTAAAAAAAATTCAATAATTTAAAATAAAATTATATTATAATTTCAATTATTTATTTATAATTATAAAATATAATAATTATATATTTATATATACTATGTATTTCAATATATTTATTTATTTTAAATTTTAATGATAATATGATTTATACATTAAAAGCATTTATTTCATATGAATTTTAATTACATAAAAATGTTCTATCATGTCATTTTTGTAAATTCATAAAACAATTTCAGTATTTTTGCACCAGTTCATAGCAAATTTACGAGGAAATAAAGTATTTAAACTAGAATATTATTTGTTTAAATATTTCAAATTTAGGAAGGTTTATTGATGTGAAATAAAAATAAAAAATAAAAACTAACGAGTGACGTGAAACAAAAGAAATTATTATTCAAACATAAAATCAATATTTAAATTAAATAAAAATTTTACAATTTTGATAACAATAATTTGCAACTAATAATTTACACTATTTATAAGATAAAATTACAATATTGTTTATAATAATATATTTGTAATTATTATTTAATTCCAATATTGTTTATAATAACATATTTATAATTATTATTTAATTAAATTAAATAAATCATGTTATCTCCTAAAAATTGTATTGTTTATGGTGAAAAATTGATAAATGAATAAAAACTCAAATTCTTTATTTCATTTTGTATTTTTTTCTTTTTAAACTGAAAAGATCAAAATAACTTGTATTAATGAAAGCTCGCGTGTATCACATAAAAAAATATAAAATTTGATTAATATAATTTCAAAATTCATATTAAACAGTTACCAAAATATAAAAATAAATCATAATCACTTAAGAGAGAAATAATTACAAAATTGAATCGATAAACATTGTTCGAGTAAAATAAAAAGGAAATATGTAAGAAAAAAATTAAAAAATAAAAAAGAAATATGTAAGAAAAAAAGGTTATCTTATAATAAGATATATAGATTATGAAAATAAAAACTGAATTAAAATAACGTTTTGAACCATGGACAATATTTTTTCGGTTTTATGAATAGGATATTGTTAATTAAATAATTAATTAATTAACCCACTTTATTTATTAATATATTTATTTAATTTAATTTTTTTCTTAGTCTAATCATATTTTTTATATTATTATTTTTTAAACATATAAATCATAATAAATTTTTTAAATTATATATATTTATAGATTGTTTTAAGTTTGTACTTTTAAATTTAAATTTAGTGAAATGATATTATTTTCTCCATATTTAAAATAAATTGCCTATTGTAAAATATTTGAATTATAAATATTGATAGTTATGATAAACAAATTTTTTATTTTATTTTAAGATGAATATTAATGTATACTTATGGAATTGAATTCATCAACCTTTTCCATCATCCATTTATAAACTAAATATTAGACATCATACACTACATCTACATGACATATATTTCACTTTATTTTTTTTAAAACATATATACGTTGATATTATAAAAAAAAAGATGCATATAAAAAGTGATTATTTATTCATTTATTTGATATTATAAATAAAAGATGCGAACACTGTCCTAATACACTTATTTCCACTAATTTTTCACTAAGAACTCCCGAAAAGGAAAAACTATTTAAATACTAATAATTTTCAAAAATTATAAAATTTATATTAGAAACTTTGATGAGTAGGAAAACACATTATTAGTTATTACAATATTTGTAGAAGTGGGAATACTTACTCTAAATTTAAAAAACTTTTTATTCTAAAGTTAAAGCTAAAGATTTGTTTAAAGAGAGTTATTATTTTTTGTACATAAGTTTATGTAGAGCTTGAGCTAGAGTGATTTCAGTATCTATGTTCTTAATTGTTACAAAAATAGAAAATGATTCAAATATATTATAAATAAATTGGCAAATCAGATTTGAATTATTTGTATGAGTAAAGAGAGCTATGAATTTTTTCTCTGCATATGTAGTTCTTAATTGTTGCAAAATAGAAAATGATTTTGAATAAATTTCGAAAAATTGGCAAATACACCTCTTCTTACTTTTGAAAGATTCTTCAAAAGAAAATTTATGACAAAAGCAACTAGAATCAATGCTAGTGTTTTTGAAACATCCAATCATAACGCCAAAGTTAGTTTAATAAGTATAAATAAACAAAATAAGAAAAAGTTACCCTTGGTTGAATAAGAACAAGTATAAATAAATAGAACAGAAGTATAAAATCATAACTTCCTCATTCACATCTTTACCCTTTGGTTGAATAACATGGAATAGAAAAATTTACACAACTCGTGAGTTTCTCTCTTCAAAGAATGCATAGAAGATGAAGTTCAAAAAAATAAATTGTTCAGTTGCAGCCTCTTTTGATTTTGAAAATAGAAATTGGAAAGCATTGAATCTTAACCCCTGGTTAGGGTTGCAGCCTGGTAAAGTGAAAGTGATGTATATAGATTTGAAATTTAATAACTGTTGTAATTTAACTTAATTATAAATTAATTTGTAAATATCAATAACTTTGCATAACATTTACATTTTCTATTTGTAATGATCAACACGATCTAAAACAAGACCTGAATTAGAGTAATTGTTAGTTAATGCAGTTAGCGTGGTTAATAGAAAACTCCTGCAGTTAAAATAGAGACTCAACCTAAAAGATCACATAACATAGACACTTGAATAAAATTCTTCTACAGTTCAACATATTTCCAAACACGCTATTAGATATAGAACTGAGAAAAGGCCTAACACACACACAAAAAAAAAAAAAAAAAAGATAAATCACCTTAAGGCAGAAGGAATTACTGTGATATGCTTCAGAGGGTGCGTGATGTCTGTGCCCCCTGCATGCTGCACAAACTCTGCAGGAGAAAATGTGCTTCCATGGCAGACACAAACAATGCTAACCTCAGATTTGTTATATCTGTATAGGAACCCATTAACAATTTTCCCATTTTTCCCTTTTGTGGACACGTATGGCATTTCAGGGAGTGAAGTGGTGAGACAGAGAGGCTTTGGGGGTTTTGCCTTCTCACCTTTGGTCTCCACCAAGGGGCTTGGCTTTTCTTTGCACAGAGGCTTCTCAGCTGGCATTGTTGGAAGTGCATTGTGGCTTGTGGGAGGTGGTCCTTGATTGAGTTTCATATGCTCAGGTGAAGTGGGGTTTGGTTTTGATTGAGATTCCTTTGCAATGTGCTTTCTCTCTTGAAAGTTGTTGCCTTGTTTGGGTTTCATGGGGTGAGATGAGGCAGAACCACTTTCTTCAGGTTGGATTGCTATGCTTTTTTCCTTGGAACTTGTCAAATGGGGTGGTTCTGCCAAAGAATGAACTGAATGACTGTGGCTATCAGTGCTTCCCCCATCTGTTAAAACATGTGTGCAATAATTGTTAAAATAGATACATAAGGAAGATGATAATCAAGATTAAGTAGCAAATTTACATGAACACAAAAATTTTACTAAAATACATTCACAATACTACAGTTTTTTTTACTTATCATTTATTACCATGCAAATGATTTAAGCCCATCATTTGTATTGTCCAAGTTATAGTTGAAAGCAACACGGTTGTTTATGCAAACTCAAACCTATTCAAATTTAAATAATGTAATCTTTTACATTAAAAACAAACCAAAATGTTCGCTGAATACCAAACTGCAGATTTATTGAACACCAGCTGAAAAACAAAGACATTAAAAAAAAAAAATTAGGGCTTTAATAAAAATGAAACATCGAAGTATGAAAGATTTGAAAGTAGGACAATGATTAATGGGTATCATGCTTGTTCAACTTTCACATGCATGTATTCAAAAGTTTAAAGACACGATGAAGAAACCAAGACACAAGAATAGTGATCACATTATAATAAAAATTCCTTTTTTTATGACATTTACTTTTTCGGATTATTAAAACAAATGGCAACTTTGTCTCTTCAAATAAATTAATTCACTGAGTCAACTTCAGTTAATAGGAGTTGAATATAACTTTTAAGATCAAAGCGAAAAATAAAAAAATAAAAAAATCAAGTAGCAGTTTGAATGAGTACTAGTTCTACTTCGGAAATGTAACATTGTGCCATATCCAAAGATTCGGATAAGATCGATCTGCATTTATCTTAAAGCTGCATGAGACCGGGATTCACGACCCTCAGATATAAAATTTAAATGGGGATAAGGTTGATCTGCATTTGTTTTTTTTTAGTAAATCATTTTCAAAATTCAAATTCACAGTTTAAAATTGAAAGATGATTCGATTTAATGTGCATGCAACCCCAACCCCACATACCAAAAAAATGGAACTCCATAATACTGCAACACATTTTCTTTTCTTGATTATGATCGACATTGACAGCATCATTTGCAAACAACCATTACTTTCAAACTGGAATTAGTCTTTTTTTTATCATTACAGGTCCATGCATGCTGTTTGCATTCACATCAAGGGTTATAATAAAAAGCAGAAGTTCAAACAAAGAATAACATTGAATGTAAGAAGAACAGAAAAACTGAAAAATTAAAAACAATCATTACCTTCACGAGAAGAGCTTTGGTAATCCGAAACCGCAGAAGAACTGCACCTAGAAGACCCATTAGACTTCGTTACCATCTTATCACAGCAGTTAACACCGTCAACGCCACCTGCATTCTTCTGGCTTCCGAACCAGCAGGGTACCGGAAAGCCGTTATTCGACGGGAAGTACTGCGCCGTCGGAAACTGGTGCATGCGAAACGGTTCCGCCGTTCCCCACGGGCCAGAGGCACTAACGCCGTTCCGGCATTCCGTTTTCTCCTTCTTAAAAGCCTGTTCCCACTCGGGTTCGGGTTCAGGTTGAGGTTCGGGTTCTCTGACGACGCGCTCCCTCTTCTGCTCTCGCTTCTTCTTCGCCTCCATCCTCCGCAACGCTTGAATCTCACGCTTGTGGTGCGGTTCGACGGCCACCCGCGTAAACGAATCCGATGCAAGCGTTTCGGGCTTGGAATCAGGTGCGGGGTTCTCCACCGTGTGCTTCCCGAAACTCCCTCCGATGGACAACGCCAAATCCAGCTCCACCTCTTCAACTTCAACCATCGCTTCGTAGAATCGTGAACATAACAACAACAACACACAGTGTTTATGATTTATTCTATTGAGAAAGAAAAAACGGAGAATTAATTAATTTTATTAAAGAGGAACGGAGGGACACGTGGCAGAAGCGGAGAAGGCGGGGATGGCGGTTAGCGACACGTAATGGGAGCGTTAACGAAGGGTGCACCGCTAAATCCTTTGTTATCGAGGAACGGAGAAAGAGAATATGTTTATAGAAGGTTCGGAGGGTGCCACGTGGCGAACGGTGAGGGGAGGGGAGGAGGGACACGTGGCGGAGAGTGAGGGAGCGCGAATCTCTAGTTTTGCATCGCTTGAATCTCGAGGCACGCAAGAGCGTGGTGCCGCTTGGTGAGGAAACGACACGTGGCAGGGGAACGTGATTCCGGGGTAGGGTGTTGGATTTTGCGAGGGCGAAACGTGGCGCGTGGTTAAGTGAGGCGTGAAAAGGTGATGGTGACGTTTCGAGAATCGGAGGGTGATTGGGGTGTAATTGCGGGGGAACTCGTTTAAGGAAAGTGACACGTCGACGTTTCGCGAGGGAATTTTTCACGTACATGACATGCCATGAATCATTCTAAGCTCCACGTGACTACGTTACCGTTGTTTTCCTCGTTCCGTTTTTATTTTTAAACTTCACGAAAAAAAAGTTATCTTGAAGAAATAAAAAATAAAATCTTTTGGAAAACCTAATGGGTTGTTGAGAAACGTGACGCCGCGGAGAGTGTTGGGAATATGGGACCAGCAGAGAGAAAGAGAGAGAGGTGATTTGGAAAAGCAGGGAAAAAAACAAACGAATGAAGCCAAAAAGAAAGAAAGTAGTGCGTGGCATGGAGGGTGTGCATGAAGACTACGTGGTTGAAGGTGGCAGATACGCGACCACGACGTGGCTGTGACACTCTGCCAGAATTTTTCTAGCTGTCGTTACTTCCACCTTGTGGACTTCCGTTTTTATCAACTTGTCAATACATAAAAAGAAAAACTAAATTCAAGACTGAGTTTTTTTCTTAAAGAATAAACAGAAGCACCACACATCATCAAAATTGATTAGATACAAGGATTAAGAATAAAACATTTACTGAAAATAAGGTTCAGATGATCTTCAGATTGATGAATCACATTTCCAACGTTGGATGATCAACATGGTTGCTTTGTAAATTATATAAGAGTGCCTTTTTCTTGTGAAGAAAATGAATAATTGTTGATAAAGAAAATGGAGGAAGAGTCTAAGTGTAAGATAACTAGCCACAAATAAAGTTAATAAATCCTTAACTGAATGGAAAAAGAAAAAAATCATCCCCAAATTATCCAACTATCATGATCCTTAAACAGGCATTTTCCTCAAAAGTTGTCCCTGCATGAAGCTGAAAAAATAAAAATAATGATATAAGAATTGATACATCATTCATGGTCAAAAAGTGGGAAGACACGTTGGAAACATAAGAATAAAGAATAAAGGTTTGTGATATGATGAGAGAGGGTGGCTTAGTTGAGCTGTTATATGAAGACAGTTAGAAAAAAAGTGTTTTTTTTTTTCTTTTACAAATGTGATTTGGTTGAAAAGTTCAAACATAATTGACGTACCTTTTGATGTAATAGTAACAGAAGTCAGCCAAGATGAAGGATTGAACTATTTCTGCAACAAAAGCTGCCAAGAACCAGAAATAGCCACTTCCAGCCAAAAATAGAAATGCCCCTCGAGTGTCATAAATCTACAAAATATTAGACATTATACATGAACACAATGTGCTTCTAATTAAGACATGGCATATTAAATATCAAGGAAACCAAACCAAGTGAAAATTGGTCACACCTGAATTATCCAATGAGCCAATGCCATGAATCTTGAAACACCAAGAGCAAATACATAATATCCTGTGAATGTTTCAATCATCTAGAAACATACGAGAATTAGAACATATAAAACTAACAAAAAAACTTGAACAGAGCCTAGAGAAGCAACCTTCGCATTCTGCATGAAACGAAGCTGAGGGAGAACAGAAACAGCTTCCAGATAAATGCTGAATGCGATAGCAACTCGAGTAATACTCCACTGAGTTGAAAAAGGGTGGACTAGTACTGCAAGGATTGCAGAAGGCACCACCTAGCACACACAATTAGCAGATGTTATTGCTACATTTGTTTTGGTCTATATGCACATCCATTGCCAAATTAAAATCATTGTGCCACCATAGACCGAGTAGATTTGGACAAAATCAACACAGAAGGCTAAAGAAGTGATCATATTCATTACCCTTTTGGCTTGTTTGGAGAGAAAACAGGAAACAGAACAAATGACCAAATATTTCACAAAAACATATAGATCCGAACAGGAACTCTACATGGGAGTTTAATCTATTTTGTGCAGCTATAGTCTCTCCCTACTTTATGCTATGGTTGAATAAGTGTATATAATGGTGTGTATTTTATTTAATGCATGTTTTAAGTGATTTCTAATTTGTTGATTAGTAGTTTGAGGGTGGGTCTGATTTGCCAAAATGTAAAGAACAATACAACACAACTCACAAATATTTGTTACCAGTTTGATTTTTAAAATAGTCATGGAATAACACAAAATAGATGATGAAAGACAGAACAAAATTATTGAAATGTTATAACTAACTTAACTAGAGAGCATCTTTTTGTTCTGTATACACAAAATGAGTAAAAAGTATTCACCCCATATCCTCTTTTGATTTACACACACGTTTTCCACCTCTTTTTTTCCAATATCGTTCTAAATATGTATAGCAATTTATCTTTAAGAAAAAGTATACTACAAAAAATTTGACATTTATTTACTTAATAATACAGTCAATTCTTCACCAAACAGACAAAACGTTATCTAATAATGCAGACATTTATCTTATGCTATTTCTTCTTGTACTATATTTTAACTTTGTATCGAACACTCCCTATTTGTGTTAAGCTAACTTGTCTTACAAAGTACATGAAACCCGTTTTGAGGCTTTGAAATCTAATTTTCCATCATTTACAAAAATAAAAGTTAGAAATTCTAACTCTAAAGTAAATGCAACACATACCATATATATTAGTTCAAAGAAAAAAAGCAAGGATCAAATGCTCTAAGTCAATACACCAGGGCGAACAGTTAAGTTTATTTACCACAAAGTATAGTTTCATATTGTCAAGCTCCTTGATATAGGATGCCTTCAACTTGAATCTTATCATCCATATGACCACCAATGTTAAACAAAGAGATATGAAATCTAGAGCAGATTGGAGGCTATATAGAAAGTCTTTGCTACTAACTAATCTTGCTGCTAGGAATAAAGCTGTGAGCTCTTGGGTAATAAGTGATAAACCTGAAAATTGAATTAGAATTAGAACTTGCTTCAATAGAATCATATCAATAAACCAAAAAAGAAGAAGTATTTGATTGGATATTGTTTTAACACCTATCCCTTTCTTTTTTTCAATCAAGAAAAGATTGTGCTTGTTGTATATCTATAACAATGACACTTATATATTGGTTTAGTTCATCTCTCGACCCATTTGAATTAGTAGCTTCAATACTACCACGGCAACATGTTTTTACGTACAGATTATAAAACCTCCTAATAATTGAAGGAAACCTGAAGAGGATGGTTGGATAAAAATGATATGAAGAAAACTTATGAATAAATTATAATTTTTCATATCTTCACAATACCAATCCTTCTACTTCAAATCACAAACACATTCACAAAACAAATCCCCTTTCTTAATTTAAATTACAAAAAATCCACATTTTTCATATTTTTGAATACGATAGGAACTTTTCTTTTCAGTACTTCATAAAAACCAGTCTGCACTTTCTTTTATTGCAAAAAAGTTTAATTCCAAATGTAGTCTTTTTCATGTTGAATTAACCCTTTCATATAACGAAAGGGAATCCTGTTAATGCTGATTTTGAATTAGGTAATCTAAAGTTTAAAATCTTTATTTCGAATTGATCTTTCTGAAATGAAAAGAAACAGAGAACATACAAGAAAAGGTCAAATGATAGTACGATTTGTTTCGAACAATGAATAGTGAAAATTAAGCACTAGGACAATTTGTAGATATACTAATCAATGATAAGAAGGGAGTTTACCAGAGCAGGTTTTCAGGGCGAAAAGCTTATATGTGAGGGCAAGTATCCCCACAGAGTGGATTACTTCAGAGACTAAGAAGAAATGGTAGCGTCTTCTAATGGTGAGTTTTAAGACCACCAAAACAATTACAGCAAGCAACACCCCCAAAAAGATCATCACTTTCATTGGCAGCTTCCTCAACCTTTCAAACAAAACATTCGCTGGAGAATTGCCACTCTTTGCCCCCATTTGTTGTGTATAGCAAAAATTCACTAATCAAAATGTGGGTTTGGCCTAATAATTTGTTTTAACACCAATTTGCTATAGTAGTTTAAAAGATCATAGAAGGATTTTAGCAGATAAAATAGAGATGTTTTTGAGGAGACACTAAGCAAGAGAGAATGCAATGGATGGTGTGGTGATGTGACAATAAATTTCTCTCCTTGAAATTGGATGATGACACTGAGACAGTTAAGGAAAGGTCTCATGAGTCAAAAGGGATGATCCCAACAATGGTGTTATTTTGACAGAAAATATTTTATTTTCCATTTTTAAAACAAAGAAAAACATTCTCAGTCAAATGTCTGAAAGTTGAATCAATTGACTTTTTTTAAGTCTATTTATTTTAATGTGGTAAATCAATATTTTAATTTTATTATCGATAATAGATATAATGAGTTAAAACAACTATTTAAGAATAAAATAAATTATAAAAGAATCTGATTCATTCAATTAATTTTAAAAAATATATATTTATTTATAACATCGAATTATTATATTTTTATTATATTAGAAACTCTTTCTCTTTCTATTTTTTTTGGCATAATTCGACTTTATTATTTCACTTTCTTTTTCTCTCTCTTCAATTATTTATTTCTTTATAAAGGCCACAATTAATGAAATTTTGTTTTTAACGATAAGAAACTGATGAGTTATTAATTCTTCACATTTATGTTTAAAAAAGATAAATTTAATAGAAATATATAACATTAATTGAATTTAATTATAATACAATGATAATATTTTTTAGTAGCGCTATAGATTGAAAGCAAAATTAATACTCCTTCTACTTTTATTTAATTGTGAAAATTCTAAAAAAAATTATCATTTACAAATTTAATTAGTTATATATATATATATATATATATATATATATATATATATTGTGATATATAAAAATATAAGATAGAGAACTTTATTAATATTTCTTAAAAGTAAAAAAAAAACATATTTATGCATTTTTTATAAAATCTTAAATAACACTTAAAAGGGAGTAATTCAGATAAACATGATACTTAAAGTACTTTAAGATTGTGGTAAATTATGTGAAGAAAATTTCAGGAAAAAATAAATATAAATTGATAAAATAAGTTATTTCGAAATCAATTATAAATGAAATAATTAAATTGCAGATAATTTAGGAAATTAATATTAATGCTGTTGATATATAATGTTCGTTGAATAATAAAGAACTTGACTGATTAAATTTTCACCTACATTTTTTATTCACTACACTTAAACATAATTTTCTTAAAAATTGTCTAATTTTCTAGACTAATTAAATATTTAATTATATTCATAATTATAAGATAAGATTTTTATCATATAAAACCAATTTCCATAAAAATATCAAGCATTATAGGATGCTACAATAGATCTTATAAGAGACTCTTAACCTTTAAAAAAACAATTAATATTTAAATAAATTCGTTACATATTTTAATATTACTTGTAAGTAGAACTTTAATTATAATAACTTTTACTTTAATTCAAACTTCAAAAATGGTTTATTACATTAAGAAAATTATAATTAAAATTAAACTAAAATTAGATTTAGAAACACAACCAAATTTTCAGCAAAATTTAATTTAAAATCCAATAATAACATTGAAAGCAATATAACTCTTTATAGAGTAAATAAAGAAATAAAATCATATTCTAACAAATAACACAGAATACTTATGATTTCATTTGTCTAAAAATAAATAAATAAATCAAATTGAGTAATTGTTTAGAAAATGAAAACTTCAAAATATTTCATTTTGAACATTTTAATTTTCTTCTTTTATTTCAGAGAACTCAAATCGCTCAAATATATTTATATTTTAGTGTGAATTTTAGACACATTTTTCCTTAATTCACATGCCTTATGATTAAATTACTTTATATAAAAAAAACTTTAATTATTTTTTACTCCTTAATATGCTTTAGAATTTAAGATTAAATATTTAAAACTAATTTTAATCTCGTAAATTTAATGTTTAGAGTTAATATAATTAAAAAAAATCCAATTAGATGTAATTTGTTTCAATTGTCGATGAATCACATAACCTATTTTATATCATATGCGAAAACTCTTTTGATTAGCAATAATTACGCAACTTCAAGTGAAGTTAATCTCTAATCCAATAGACTAAATGAAATTCATGATGATTGGAAAGAAGAATTTATGTATAAATCATATAAAATAAATGCTGGCAAAAGAAAAGAAAGAGAAAGAGGTATGATTTCAAAGTTAAAAAATCACATGAAAAATACAAAAAGAAGGCATAAGTTAGGTTGAATTTCAAAGTTACTTAACTAAAAACTAAAAACTAAAAACTAAACTCTTACTCAAAAACATTGTACATCAATGAGCCATGATTTTCTTTTCTGATAGAATAAGTAACCATGATGCTTAAACTGGCATTTTCCTCAAAAGTTGCCCTTGCACGAAGCTGAAAACAAAAAACAGAAATATAAGGTAAAAAATTGTTGTGTTTCAACTTTTTTTTTTTCTTGAGGAAAGATAAAACAGTGTGATAATTATAAAAAAATAATTATCATGATTTATATATTTAAAAAATAATAAAAATTTAAGAGTGAAATATTTTTTTCTAATATATATATATATATATATATATATATATATATATATAATAGTTATCATTATAAAATAAAAATGTAACGACATTTCTAATAAAAATAACATGATGAAAAAAATAAATCAATGGTAAATGTCTTCTAATAATTAGAAATTATAAGATAAGACAAGTTAAACTTATCAAACTAACCTTTCATTCTCTTTCAAGAATAATAAGGTAAGTTGATATTTTTAGTCTGATTTATTAATATCATAGATTAGAGATGGATGAATTGACTAGTCGACCCACTTTTATATATATATATATATATATATATATAAATAATAATTATAATTAAAAATACTATTTTTTTCCTCATGAAATATATAATATATTATAATAGTATAATTAAATTATATATATTAATTAATTACGTTTAAATTATTTATTATAATTAGTTATCTTAATATATAAATATAATATTTTTTAATTTATCTAATAAAAATATCAAATAATAAATAGAAACTTAAAAATAATTCATATAATTAAATATATATTTAATAATTATATAAAAAAATCATATAAAAAATATTGATTGACTGATCTTCGTTAATTCTAGACTATAATGAGTCAGCATGTTTCGTCTAATTTTATCCAGATTAAAATAAAACACAACAAAACATGTTTTATCATCTATTAATAATTAACCTATTTCTAAAAAAAATAGATCACACTAATATTATAAATATATATAATAAGATGAAAAAAAGAAAGCACCAAACATTATATAAAAGAAAATATAAATTGTGAATTGTTAGAGAGAATGAGATTTACCTCTTCATGTAATAGTAACAAAAGTCAGCCAAGATGAAGGATTGAACCATCTCAGCCACAAAAGCTGCCAAGAACCAAAAATACCCACTCCCAGCCAGAAATAGATATGTCCCTCCAGTCTCATAGATCTATATAATATTCAAGGTGTGTTATTCATGTGCTTGAGAACAACACAATTCTCAGCTCTTAATAAATGATATTATTATGAAAATGTATTCTCAAATATACAATCCAAAAATGATATCACTATTATGAAATTAATGTTAAAGAAAGAAAAGGACAAAAATTTGAAACTTTTATGAAGGAAAGCAAACAGAGTGAAAACTGAACTCACCTGAATTATCCAATAAGCCAGAGCCATGAATCTTGAAACTCCCAGAGCGAATACATAGTACCCTGTAAATGTTTCAACCATCTACAAATATACCAGAGTTATTCAACTAAACCTTAAATTCTAAACTCAAAATATGATCCTATTTTCGTTCCAAGTCATTCAACTTTTCCATTTTTTATTCAATAGGAGATTTCAACTATCACTTAAATTCTTAACCGATACAACCCACAATCTAAATTAATAGAAGTGCTAGAACAAACTGTAAAGGACCAACCTTTGCGTTCTGCATAAAACGAAGTTGAGGAAGAACGGAAACAGCTTCCAAATACAAACTGAATGCCCAAACTATTCGAATTAAACGCCAATGGTGTGTATAAGGGTGGATTAGTATAGCAAGGATTGCAGAAGGGACCACCTACCACACAGTATAATAGATGTTACTGTTATTTATTTTGGTCTATATGCAAATCCATTGCCAAAATATGAAGTTTTATGCCACACCATAAGACTGATAACATCAAGACAATTCAACATAAAATTCTACAGAAGTTATCATCATCCTTTTGGTTTAATTTAAGAGAAAACAAGAAACATAATGATCGAATATTTCAGACAAACATATTTAAACTGTTTGCTTTAACTTATTTTAAAATAATGATAAAATATGTTCTAATTTTCTCAAGATTTGATTGATATTAGTTTAGTCTTTTTCTCAAGATGTTGTAAATTTTGTCCCTAATCAAGTAAGTCTAAATAAATAATGTAGGATTGGACTGAAATTGACATTACCATAGTGCAAACATTCAAAGCTTCAAATTATGCTCTAAATTAGCACAAAAGAGTGAACTGTTAAGTACAATTACCACAAAGTATAGTCGCGAATTGTCTAGCTCCTTGATATAGGATGATTTTAACCTGAATCTTATCATCCATATGACCACTAATGTTGAAAGAAGAGATATGAGATCTAGCACAGTATGTATGTTAGCTTCTGTCATGGTGCTACAACTCAATCTTGCTGCTACAAATATAGCTGTCAGCTCTTGAGTCTTGAGAGATAAACCTGAAAATGGAATTAGAAACTTGTTATATAGACTCTTATCAGAATTTATACAGATTTAAAACATTACAGGAAAAGGAAGCAAAATAAGACCTAATCTTTGTTTTCCATCAAAAAGAAATTATTATGATTCATGTATATTTGAAAACAGAATACTATCTATTGATTTTGTTTGCATAAAACAATGGATATTTTATGATGAATCTCTTTCATAACTTTTAAATAGTAGGGGTGGTTTTAAACAGTGGGGGTGTCCACTATAATTAAGGCATGGACTTGGTTTTGGTAGTGTCCATATTCTATAATCAAATGTGACATCTATTTTTAGGTCAGGATCAAACTACATTTTTTATTAGTTCGGATTAAACTAATATTAATATTTTGGAATTAATAGTTTCAAAATTTTTTAAAAATTATAATATTTTTACTGGGCATTAAAAATGAAGTCTATGAAATTATTAGACTGGGATAAAGTTAGGTGATTAGGTTAAACTAAATCAGTCCCTTTCTTAAGTTTATTTGTTAAGAAAATTCATTCAATTTGACTTTGTGTGAGCCAATCCAATTCATAATTTTCACATAAGGTTAGGTTAGTTAGGTGTGGAACTTGTGATATTCACATAAAATAAAATTATATTATGTCAGCTTTTCCACTTTTTATTTTATTTTATGTAAGTTTTTTTTTTTCTTTAAGGCTGCCACATTAAAAGTTATTAAATATTATTTATTAGAAGTTATATTTAAAAGTTTATATTTATTTGAAACGATGGAAAAAGAAAAAGAAGGATAGAGAAAAGATGGAAAAAACAAAATATCGCTTTTCCTCTTGCATTTAGAATCAGTGAGAAAAGTTTATTCTGAAACTTATACATTTATTTTTTATTATATATATATATATATATATTATTAAATTTTACTAAATTAAAATAAAAAAATATAATAAAAAACGTGGATAAAATTAAAATATAGAATCAACTAGACTTATGATATAGAAAAATATATCTTTAAAATTAGATTATTATCTTGATTTAAATTAAGGAGATCACTTGAATGTATTAAGTTTTATTAATATACGTTATATAAAGTTAGAATATTTTATGAGAAATGTCATTAAATAAAGTAAAATAATTAAAATTTTCATACAGTGTGTTTGGATTATAATTTGAAAGTCTTTAAACGGAAATTTAAACGTTACAAAAATATTAGAAAAGTTAATGTACGTTACTATGACCATAACTCTTTTATAAATGCATATTAATTGGTTCAACAAAATGCTTTCGTAAATAGTTCACAAACACACGACAATATAAATTTAAATTCTTGTTTTCTCCTTTAAAAAATAAATAAAATTGAAAGTCAATAAAAAAAACTAATAAATTGTGAAAAAAATGTTAACTTATTTTTTTAATTAATCGGATAATGGATCTGTTCAGAGTTACACTTCGGAATTTGTAAAGATTGTAATAATTTTTTTAATTAATTCATTTTAAACTATACAATATATATATATATATATATATATATATATATATATATTAATTTTTAAAATAATTACATTAAATGAATATTTGAGTTAAGGAATAAAAAAAGAAAATGAAGAAATGGTTACCACACTCATTAATGCATTCTTTGTAACTACCAAATATTATTTCAAAACTGCCAAAATCAATTTTGTTAATAAATTGTCTTTGGAAATTACAAAATTAGACAGTGTTATAAAAACTATTTAATGAATCTTTATTGATTTTATACTTTTTAATAAATTTTAATTAGTAAAAAATAAATTAAAAACTCTCCTTGAAGAAAAACTCAGGACTGCGCAGAGATATCTGGTCAAACAAATCAAATCGATATCACAGAGCCTCCAATCACCGATGAAGGAAGAGAATTTTTTATAACATTAAACCAATCCTTCATAAAACACATTCACAAACACAGAAAACAGAGAAAAACAAAATCAAACCCACCCGCTTCCGTCCCTAATTTTCCATTCTAAATTGAAGTTTTCAGATGTTCAAATATGAAAAATGTTGGTGTATGTATGATTTCGTGCTAAGAATTGACAATAGCAATTAAGCAGAATGAGGGAAAGGAAATGTACCAGAGCATGTCTTGAGGGCAAAAAGCTTGTAAATGAGGGCGATTATTCCAGCAACATGGATTGTTTCAGCGGCTATGAAGTAATAGTAGTTATTGGTGATAGTGAGCTTCAAGGCCACCAGAGCAGAAACAGCAAGCAATGCCCCAGAAAAGATCTTCACTTTCATTGGTAGCTTCCTCAACCTTTCAAACAAAACATTCACCGGGGAACTGTCCCTCTTTGTTCCCATTTGTGAATACCAAAATCTTCACCAAACACAATAAGGGTTTGCTCTGGTGAAATAACTTGTTCTGTCACACTAATTGGGTTGAGAAATTTTGGTGATGATGGAGGAGAAAGAGAAGTGAAGAGGGACAGAGAGAGGCTTTGAGGAGACACCAAGAGAGCATGCAGAGGATGGAGTGGTGTTATGTGGCAATGAATTTGATGTATTGAGTTGGGACCATTGGCAGCACTGAGTCAGTTTAAGGAAAGGTCCAAATTGGATGATGCCAATGTTGGTGATGTTTTGGTGATAAAAGGAATAAATATTATTTAATATGTCCATGTGATTGGTGCCAAACATGGCAATCTCATAATGTTTAATTAGGTTTTTCTTTTAATATATATTTTTTACTTCAATTTTATATTTTATTCCTAGAATATTTTATTTCTATTTGTGTCTCAAATATTTTGTTTTTATTAAATTTATATGCATTACTTTCATATAGATTATTGGTTTTAAATCTATATAAAATGTAGAAATTAAAATTAAGAAAAAAAATGTAGTGTGACTAAGAAATTTAAAACTAAGTAATAAAGTAAAATTTGTTTTGTAATGAATAAGGAAAAAACGAACAGAGGGTGGGTGATACAGGTAACAACTAAACTAATGAAATAAAAAAACTATGATTTGCTATTTTTTTTAAATATATTAATAAAAATAACTAAAGAGATTTTCTTAATCTTAAAATAAATAAAAAATTAAATTAATTTTATAAATACTATATTTTTAAAAAATATCTATCTAGTTTATATTGTTTATTTTCTTTTTTATAAATTTTCTTTTCTTTCCTCATTCATTCTTTAGTTTCTTTTCTTTATTAAGGTCTCTTGTTTTTTTTTCTCTATATCTTCTCTCTCTCTCAAACTTGTTCTTTCAACTAAAATTATTCTATTAAAGTTTAATAAAAATATGTCAAAATAATTTTTTTCAAAATTAATATCAAAACTAAAAAAATATTAACTAATTATTTAAAATTTATGATAATATATAATTTTATTTAATATGATAATAAATAATTTTATTTATGATGACATGAATAATTAATTTAAAATTATTTTATCATAATAAATCAATTATTTATCTAATTAAAAAATATTAAATATTTATGAGTTAAATATATTTTATTTAATTATTTAATTTAATTATAATTAAGTTAGGTTATAATGATGAGTTAAATTACATAATTTAAAAATATATTTATTAAAAAATTACTTTAAAATAAATATTTAATTTTTTTTAATTATAAGATAGCAATAATATTTGTAATCCCTTAAATTTATCGGATAATATTTTTTAAAATATAATATATTAAATTATAATATTTTTGATAATTAAAATATTTTTATTTTTTAGAAATAAAAAAATATATTTTATTAATTTTTAATATAACATTTTTAATTAGAACAATAAGATGAGGTGAGAGAAAAAATAAGATAAGAGAAAAAAAAGCATTAAATGAGGAAAAAAAGAATAATAAGAAGGAAATGAAAAAAATAAAATAAAAAATAACGAAAATGTTATTTTTATTATTAAATATATAATTTTAATGGGATAATTTTGTGTATAAAAAAATTTAATGGGATAAATAAACTTACGGAGATTTTATTCAAATATTTTTATTATAAAATAAATTATTTATAGAATTGATTCTAAAATTATATTATAAATTTAAAATATTATTATCTAGAAATATATATATATATATATATATATATATATAATATAATATGTTAAATTATATATTTTATTTATAAAAAAATTAATTTTGTGAGAAATATTTGGAATAGTATCTTACATGAACCTTCTAATAAAAGATATGTAGATTTGGTCTCCTCCAACCGAATATTCTTTATCTTCTTCTTACTTCCTCGGAGTTAGAAATATAGGTAAAAGAAGGTTATTTTATCAAATGAGTGTAATTTTTTAAAAAAATTTATCAAAATGGATAAATTTTTAAAAAATTTACGGCTTTGGATAAGTTGTGTTATCAAGTACGCTCTACGTGAAGAAGGCGTACTTTCTGATACGATTTAGTTTTTTTTTTTTAATGAAGAAGTCGTGTTAGGTAATACGACGTCTGTATAAATTTATAGAAACAGTACTATCTAGTAGAAATTCTAACTACCATCGTTTCATCAATTTGTAAGTCCATATTGGGCCTCACTCTTTTAAGGAGCACAAATGAGAAGTGTAGTATCACCCCAAAATGACAATGTTTGGCCCACAAAACTTCTAGCGCTTATTATGACTATTGGGCCTCACTCTAATTTCTCTCCACTCTCGTCTCACCTACCATCACTCTTCACTCTCTCATTTCACGCCAACTACTTACACCTAAATACTTTCTTCTTCATCTTTTGCCCAAATTGTGTTACAATCTTGCATATTTATGACTCACATAGACCAAACCATGTTTCCTTACTTCTTCTGTTTGTGTGTTTTTATTCAAATCTCGAAACTTTATTTCACGACCTTCTCAAATGAATCTTGTACGCTTTGCCTAAATCAATATTTTGCTTTGCTCCTACATTTGCCCAAAGGTTCCAATCTCACTTTTTTTTCCTTTGTCTTTTCCTCAATCTCGCAAATCTACACACCTCTAAGGTAAAAAATTTTCAAAATAACTATATCATATTTTTTTCATTAAATAATTTTTGTTTAAACTAATTATTTACACTAAATAATTATGTTTATAATTATAATTCATTATAATTTACATATTGTTACACTAGTACATACATATACATAAGGAGGAAATAACTAAATAAATAAAAACAACACAAGTCAACGTTTCTCTATGAGTTGTAAAATTGATTAGGTAACCTGGAGCTCAAGAGAATTTGTAATGGATTCATCTTGGGCAAGGTGATGCCCAACCCTTCTTCTAAATCAACAGGTTCATCCACAGGCACCTCCAAATCAAACCCTTGAAGCAAACGAGCAAGTGTCATGAGACTCACTTGTGTGGCAAAAGTGGAACCAGGGCAAGCTCTTCTCCCTGACCCAAAGGGCAAATACTCAAAATGGTGACCTTCATCAACTTCTCCATTCTCATTCATAAACCTCTCAGGTGAAAACTTCTCAGGCTCACACCAAACACTTGGATCTCTGTGAAGTTTCCACACGTTGGCAAACACACGTGTCCCTTTTGGTACATGATAGCCCTGAATCCTGCAATCTTCTCTAGCCTCGTGGGGTACCAACAGAGGCCCTGGAGGGTATAGCCTCAAAGTTTCCTTCATAATTGCTTGCAGATAAACGAGATTTTTTAGGTCATTTGCTTCCACCCTTCTCTCCCTACCCACATGATGATCAACCTCTTCTTGTGCTCGCTTCAAAGCGTGTGGATTCTTCATCAACATGGCTAGTATCCATGTCATTGTCGTCGATGTTGTGTCTGACCCTGCTAACATAATATTCTGAATATACAAGTTGACATGGTCAATAATAATAAAATAATTACTAGATATAAGAGAAAAATGCATCAGAGAAAAACAAAAACAAAAACAAAAACACAAGTATTTGCAAAATTTAGAACTGGAGATAAAATGTTAACCATAACAGTAGCTTTGATGATGGTATCACGGTTATGACCAGAGACAGGATCATCTTCAATAACAGAGAGCATGACATCAATGAAATCATGGTTTTCCCATGATTTGTTGGAGAGTGGATCACTCTTCTTGTGCTCTTCAACCCAACCTCCCACAAGGGTGTCCAAATCTTTTGCAATTCGTTTCATAGATTTCAGCACTTGCCCATGCAGACCAAACCATCCAAGAACTGGAATCAAATCCGAAGTCACAAACTCCCCAGATATATGCATGAACTCCTTTATGAGTTTCACAATACCATGTGCTTCAACATCATCCACATCTTCCAAATAACTGAAATACCTGTTCACCAACATGCCAATTTGTAGAACCTATTATTTCTCAGTTATTCTGAACTCATAACATAACAAGTATTTCCAAATATACCTTTTCCCAGCAATCATCTTTGTGATCATATTGAAGGTCAACCGTTCCAACCACTCACTGATTGTGACCTTAACGCCAGTTTTGCTTCCCAGATACATCCGAAGATCCTTCACCAAAGTATCAATCTCAGATTCATAAACATGCCTCAAGAATTCAAGGCGGCGAGCAGAGAGCAATTCAAGCATGGTGAGCTTTCTGATCTTGATCCAATATGTGCCATAAGGGGCAAATCCAAACCCTGCAAAATTGTAACCAAGGTGCACACCATGGCTTGACTTAGGGCGTGAGGCCAAGACTTTGTCGTTGGTGGTGAAACACTCTTTTATTGCCTCTCGGTTGCAAATCACAAGAGCAGGGTATGCCCCTAGACGGATTTGGAAGATGGAGCCGTATTTGTCAGCCAAAGCAGCAAAGCTCCTAGCAAGGGGTGTTTGAGCTCCTAGCAGGTGGAGGTGACCAATCAGAGGTAGGGCACCTGAGGGTTCTGGGGGTTGTTGACCCTTGCTTTTGTGACTACCTTTTTTCTTCCTCCATGTTTTGTAAAGAAGAACTATGGTTATTATGGCTACCACTACAAGTGTTGGTTGTGAAAGGAAATCCATGGCGTGGGATTTGAACTTGTGAAAGATTGAAGATAAGATTAGATGAGTCATGAGTGGCATGATTCTAAGAAGTGAAGCGTTCTGGTTTCAAGTCACTATTACATTTACAGTTGTAGATGTGACTTGAAACTAATGAGAGAGATGACGATGACGTGTGGTTATATTCAGAAAGACTTTTTGACTTCTGAAGCTGATTTTAATTTAACCGAAGGATTATGTGGCGACCATCATAGTAATTAAGGCCATGCCACTCAGGTTTTTTTTTTTTTTTTTTTTTTTTTTTTTTTTTTAACTTATACCATATTAAATAAATAATTAAAAAAATTAAAGAAATAAATTAAGTAAAAAATTAAAAATAATTTTATTTTTTAATCTTTATATATTTCCTCTCCTTTTTATACTATTTTGATAATATTTAATTATTTTCTAATTTTTAAAAAATATATTAAATAAAAAAGATTAAACATAATTTCTTATCTTTTCTCCCATTTCATATTCTATCATTTTTATTTTTAAAATTATTTTTCGTCTCTCCCACTTCGTATTCCATTCTTAAAATTAGTTTGATTAACAAAAAGATTTTTTTTCCTTATTGTTTATTATATTATTATTTGTTATTTAAATTTTTATAGAGGAATTTTTTTTATAAATTTTTATGATTTTATAATTAAAAAATAATAATAATTTTTTTTTCTAAATATGAAACATAAAAGAATAGATTCTTTAAAAATGATAAAAGAGATATTTGTATAGATAAAAATCAAACAAATTCAATATTTTCTCTTATTTCAAAACATGATTTTAATGATCTAATTATTCAATTAGAATAACTTTTTTTAAGATTCATAAAATTAAAACCAATAAATTTAATATTAATTATTTAGAGTGTGACCTAAGAAAACGCCTTCAAATACATGAATATCCTATAAGTCAAAGAGATAAAATTAGAAGAGCAACATGACATTGATGTTTCTAATTTTAATTCTACCTATATAATACGTCATGGTCGTTATCGACATAAAAAATATTGTATTACACTAAAACATAATTTCAGTTTTTATCACAGTGAATAAACAATTACAAAAATTAAATGAAAGGTTTAGTAAGAAAACCATGAAACTTTTAACTTTAAGCAATACTTTAATTCCAAATGATGTTTATAAAAATTTTAATTTTGATCATATATGCATACTTGTGAATAAAATTTATACCTTGTATTTTAGTGACAACAACTTATATATGTTGTGTGACGTCTTTTTTTTTTTTTTTCAATCATGATGTTAACTATATTTTAAGATATTACTAATTTATATTAAGTTTTGACAAAAGTAAGATATAAGATAAATGTTTATATATTTATATGTACGAAGATGTGAGCTTTACATGTTTACATTATTTTTATATCGAAACAATTATTAAAATTGACAAAAAAAAAATTCTTCTAACAAGTAGTTGAATGATACGTGTCTTCCATTTTGATATTTCCATCTATTTATATTGATATTTTAGTTGTAACATGCACAAAAAATAACAATAAGGAAGTGAAAACAATTATCATTTAAAATAATATCATCTTATAATTATATATAAAATATATTTTTCAACTTCTTCAACATATTTCATTTATTCCATTTATGAAGATTTAAATTAAATTTATAGTTACTAGTCACGATAAATGAGCTTAATTTTAATCCCTCTCAGTGATATTTACTCATTTCAATCTCTAAGGTCCAACCTCCATCTACAATAGCATTTTCATAAATAAATATTATTATTTAAAAACAATCAAATAAGAATAAATCAATAAATAGAATCAATGCATAACTGGAGATAAAGTAAAATAAACAAAGGACAAGTATGTAACTAGAGATAATTAAAATAGAACCAATATATAACTGGATATAAATAAAAAAACATAAAGTAGATCAGTAAGTAGTTGAAGATAAATAGATAAGTAACAAAATAAATAGAATGAAGTTAGAATATTCTACAACTATAATTAAAACAAAATAGATAAAATAATAATAGTCTTCTTTCCTACCTTAATAATTGGTGATAATGTATCAAAATTTTATTTTATATATTTTCTTTTTCTTTCTCCCTTTCTCCCTTTCTCTCTCTCCCTGTCCCTCTCTCTTTCTATTTCTATTTCTCTCTCTCTTTCTCCTTATTTTTTATCCTTAATTTTTTTTTTTATCTTTCTATGTAATCCTCCCCCTCTTATTTATAGCCATACATTTTCTCTTTTTTATTTTCTTTCCTTCATTTAAGGTTTTGGAATCTTATCTCTTTTTTTATTTTTTTATTATTTCCTATCATAATTAAAACTTATCTCTTAACACGAAGAGATAAAATTCTTATCTTCATCCATTTTTTATTAATTTATATATATATATATATATATATTTACTAAAAATTAATATATATATATATATATATATATATATATATATCTATAATTATAATTTAAACTATGATTATTATTTTAATAAATATATATTTTTTGTATAATAGTTTAACAATATATATATATATATATTATTTATTTATTTATTTTTAAATAAATGAGTTGTTTATTTTAAAATTATTTAAATTACTCAAAATATTATTTAATATATTGTATTTGAAAAAAATTGACATAATCAATTTTGAGATGTTACATGTTGCAATAAATTCTTCATCGAAAGAGGTAGAGAAGTGACAGTCATGATTGCTGTGAACATGTATATGCTGAAGAGACCGTCAAGACTTTATTTTATTACCTTCATCCTTTGTGGACTTAAGAGGTTAATTGTTAAATTCCCTATTTAGGGTTTAAGTAGTCATTGTCATTCTGTTGTGTTTTTTTTAGGGTTTCCTGTGTGGAAATTGTTCATCCCTTTGATTTGTTCAGGGAAGTGTTTTCATCATTTGACTTGTTCAGAGGAGGTGTTCATCCCTAGTGGGATTCTAGGGAGGTGTTCATCCTTAGTGGGATTCTAAGGAGGTGCGTTCATCATTTGATTTGTTCAGAGGAGTTGTTCATCCCTAGTGAGATTCTAGGGAGGTGTTCATCCTTAGTGGGTTTCTAAGGAGGTGATTATCTTTTGAATTAGTTTACTTTTTGCTGAGTTGATTGTAATTTGTGAACTAAATTTAAAAGATAGTGAATTGGGGTCACTTTTGTGTTAAGAGTTGACTGGGAACTGAATGTAGGATTGACTATACCCGAACCAGTATAAATCATTGTGTGCTCTTCTCTTTCCCTTATCTTTTTTTCACTGCATTACTCTCCTTACGCCCCCGTTATTTTTATCTCTATCTTGTTGATATTTTAGCTCTCTGATTATATTTGTTCCGCTTGATCATTGTTCAATTTGATAATTAAAATTGAATTAATAAATATTGGACATCTTTGTTAGAATCGCACAGCGGAATGTTTGCGTTTACGGACAAAAACCAAGAGGGGGGTGAATTAGTTTCTTAAACAAAAATTAGGGTTTTAAAATTTTTCCCAAATTTCATCGATTAAAATGCGTTGTAAAGTAAATAGATAAGGGAAAGAAGATTACACAGTTGATTTATACTGGTTCGGATCAAAAGACCCTATGTTCAGTTGCTAATCACTCAAAAAGAGGATTAACGTTGTCACTATAATCATAATTTACAACATATTACAAAATGAAAAGATAAGGAATAGAAAACACCTCTCTTGAGTCACACAAGAGATGAACACCTCCTTTGAATCCACAAAGGATGAAGAACAACTTTTCCTGGAGACAGCACAACACACAATCCACCAAGAAACCCACTTAGTGATTCTTATCGCTTCTAGCCCACACTAGGTTTTCAAAAACCCCTTTTTCTTCCCTATAGAAAGTTCTAGCAGTCACAACTCTTAACTTTTGTATGAAAAATGTTTGTTATTTTGTAGAGAGCCTTAGAGAATCTTAAGTAGAGAGAATAGGGTCTGAGAAATTGTAATTTTCGAAAACAGAAGAATTGGGAATATGGTTTTCTTAAATTGGTCCAATTTGAATTACAAAACTCATAACAGACGTAAATAATCGATTATCTTGAGTGATAATCGATTATTCCAGAGCCATTTTCGCAAAAGAACAAAACTGGACCAGGATAATCGATTATTTGGCCAAATAATCGATTATTTGCCTGTGATAATCGATTTTCCTGAGTGATAATCGATTATCACAATGAGCTATTCCTGAAAACAATTTTCTTACTGTAATAATCGATTATCCTGAGTGATAGTCGATTATCACAGTGTATTTTTGATAAAAATGAGTTTTTAGAGGTTTTAAAGGATCGTCTATGTGCTGACTATCTTGGACTCTAATATTACAAACTCAAAAACATAAAAATAGAGTTATTACATAAGATTACAAGTCTTCAAATCTCTAAGTCCTTTGTTCTTGAATCATCATCAAAATCTGCAAGCTTCATATTCTTGTATGGTTAACAATCTCCCCATTTTTTATGATGATCAAAATTTTCTTTAAAGCCCTCTGTAATAACCTGTTTTATCTGTCACAGCTAATAAAAACATTAAACATACTAGACAACATTAACATTATTAAACATAAGAGACTTTAAATAATTTCTCCCTCTATTTTGATTATGATAAAAAATGAAAGCTCCCCCTCAATAAGTGCATAAGATAAAAAAAATAGCTCCCCCTCAATCAAAGCTAAAATAAAGTTTTTATTCCATAAAGCAAATGAAGTACAAACAAGAAATATGTTAAAGAGATTAAAACTCCTCACTTTCATCACTATTAAACTGGGCGTCAAATCTGTCCTCTAAATTACATACTCTATCATCTATATCCGAAATACGTCGAATAATTTCTTGATGTCGTTCTTGAGAGATAAAGAAAAATTCCTGCATTCTTTGATTCATGTCGAACAACATATCTTCCATAGAAGGGAGGGATGTAGGATGAGCAGATGACGGTCTAACAGTATGAATATTTGCAACAGGCATGTCAACAATAGGCATGTCCTCATCATCAGAATCTTGAGCCACGTTGGCCATGTGAGGAGCATCATCTTTATGAACGTAAA